CCCAAATGTGCAAATCTCATCTCTATGCACAATTCAATCCGGCGAACAAAGCTGTTGATGATCCTCCTACACACATGTCTTTCTGAATGGACAAGTTTGTTCCAAGAACAATTGCTACTGGGGCTTACATCCTCCTGATAAAGTGTTACAGCATCCATTGCATTCTGAACAATGCACTCCCTGGGTGGTAATGAGGAAACATGGAATCATCAGTCCCTTTTGGTTCGAAGGTGACTGGGGACTTGCTATCACCATGAACAAGGACCAATAAGTTCTCACCAAGTTTTGGAGGTCACTAAGAACCAGAAGGGACATCTAAGGAGATAAGTAAGCAGTGGTTTCAACAAGCCAATACCATCCCAAGACTGCAAATGATATGCTGAAATGGTTTAGGCAATGCTTTGGTGGTCAGCTCATCAGTTGCAGAACACAAACCATATGGGCAGCTCATTTGCCTGATCTAAATCCCCCAATTTTTTATCTTTGAGGATTTCTCAAAGCCAATGTGTATACTGACAGGCCCCTACACAGTCTTAAGAGGGCAATAACTACCCCAATATTTACCATCCACATTAATGTGTATAGGTAAGGGTCATTAACAACTTTGTTCGCAGGATTCGTTTGTGCATAGAGAGGAGAAGTGCCCACTTTGAGCATGTTTTGTAAAGGACTGTAGTTTTTGACACAATAAACAGATTATCATCAAACTTCCAGAACAAAATTCACATTGAATGAACTAAATAATACTTAAATTTCAGGGCAAAATATGCAAAATTGATCGAGTTATTCAACTTTCTTACGGTCCTGTTTTTTTTTGGACACCCTGTACATGCAAACATTTGCTTTTCGTTATAATTATGGATGAATATGACATTAACAAGATCTACCTATTGCTACTTAAATTAAGTCAATGATACTGTTCCAGTAATGGAGATAAATTATGGTGACTAACATCTTAAAGAGGCTCTTATGCCACGACTTGTAGAGGCCTCCTAGACTTCGACTCACACATTCGTCAGTTTCGACGTCACTGACCTCGTTTCTTCCACCTGAACCACAATATCACTACATGAATATCAGTTCTTTAGTCGCGAACCAACAGTTCCTCTCTCCCAACTTATTTCTCCACTGGCGCATCAAGTTCCCTCATTGAGGTCAGCGACGTCGGCACTGACAACCCCATGAGTCAATGTCTAGGATAGCACAATCAAGACCACTCTGGACTTTTTTGCATATTGAGTTTCACTACATATTCACCCATCTACTTACCAAAGAAGAAGTCCATGATTAACCTCTTTTAGTGTTAATTTTGCGATTGTGCTGGCCGATCTAATTATTTTCGAAGAAATTAATTCAATATGAAGTTTGAATATACCAGGAAAATCCTCCTGTTATCTGATTAGTCGTTGAATTTGTTTATCATAAACCTGATTTGCTGCCTGGTCCGAGGCGCTTGTTGGCGTGTGTGACTCAATGGGGATTCCCCTCGCTAGCCGAGGAATCCGTTGTGTTAAATTCTGGAATTTGGTTGCTTTGTTGATTATTTCCGATATTTTGCCAATAATATACCCAAAAGTAATTCTCAAGATATATTCATGGTATGTGAGATATTATATGAGCAATAACAATAGGGCGTCATTGATTGTCTGGGGGAGAAACCCATGGCATAATGCATCTTTAATGCAGCTAGGTGAAATAGTCAATATACATCATTAAGATCGACTTATGGTCAAATTAATTGCACATGTTTCTTTCGTACTTGAAATGAAAACCCATCACGCTTGAAATGAATTGAAGGATCATCCTGATTTCACCCACCATGGACGTAGCTTTGTTCAATAGTTTATGAAGGGGTGACTGTCCAATATACCATTATCTATCTGTGATAATAGCTCTCAAAAAAGAGCTGAGTAAATTGATGGAAAATAGGTAGAAATAAAGGATTGTACGCAAAACTATAGAATTTATAAAAAGTCTGTAAAAGCAGATTCTCAGGTTAACGTGGAAAAAACAATGAAAATTTGCATTGATTTGAAATTCTTCATACATGTACAAAAATCCTCAAACTTCATGCATTGTACTGACAATTGTTTGATTGTTCATATCTTCACTTTTAAATAGACTACATTAAGTGCTCATTTTTTCCTACACTGTACATATGTATATTATTCTCAAGCTTACTTACAACTTTTCATTGCCACCCATTCCCCACCACCTCCCATGGTTCTTAGCCCAATATGCAAAAATAAAGTTACATAATGGTTATGTAATCTATTGTGTAAGATAATGTAATATTATATAATAGTAATAAATATTATTATCATTATAATTTGCCAACAAGGAAAAAATGACAAGAAATTATGGGAAATTCTGAGTATTATATTATAGATAAACAAGGTGTCACAAAGTACACAGAACTGGCACTATGTTGTATACAAGTAGAATATCAATGATTCAACATAATTAAAGCTGGTCAACAGAGTTCACTTAATAATCAACAGCATGGTAACAAGGTAAATAATATGAAACATTACCGTCCAATTAGTGATTAATCAGACATAATTGTGACTATTGCGTAAATATAGCTAATGTAGATTATCACTAGTTATTACATGAAAGTTTGGTTTGATAACATTTCATTATGAAAGGTAAATGTCTGTTTCATATGTATGCATCCCCCTCTAAAATCATATATGTAACATTGCCACCCTATCATGTTATGTATCATTTTGTTCCCCATAAAAAGGTACATATGATTGAAAGTTTCCGAATCCATAGGTGTCCCTGATAAAATATACAACGTATCAAAGTATTTAGGTACGGGGTTAAAGGACAAAATTAGTGTCCGTATTGCACATTTCTAGCAGTTGTCATCATGGCAGAGTTCAGTCCACATGTCTGTGACAGTTATTTCAAATAAAGACAGAATTTGTGCATTGGCTTATTGGGAGACCAATGGTACCACCTTTATCACTAAAAAGGGTAACGGACAAAGTGAACAGATCACCGGACTAAGTCAAAAAATGCTACACAAAAATACGTCTTGTAAATTACCCTGTAGCCGCATACTTTGATACATTGTATCTTTTGTCAGAGGCATCCCTTGAATTTGCAATCTTATGTAACTTTCCGTGGGACACAAAATAATATATACTCCTCAGAAAAGTTAAAGACCTGTCTTTTTCCTCAAACGTTTAAATATGTATATCTGAACTCTATTTTCTAAGACCGAAATAAAAAACTGATAATGTGAATGGATATGTACCTTAAATTTAGTAAAACCCGATGAAACAATTCAATATTTTGTTGTTGACAAATTCAATTGTCCATTTAAAGCAATTGGAATGATGGATATGTTCTCATACTACTCTTGTCAACCCAACCATTTCCCATTGGTTTACATGTGATCTACCATTTTTTACAGCTCCAAGCAGATTTTAAGATAACAGGAAGGTAAATCTTCAATACACACCTTATTGGATTGTTTTCGTTTATATTGCAATCCAATAGGGTGTGTATAAAAGATTTACTTTCCTGTTATTTCAAAATCTGATTGGAACTATACCATTGTATTACTGTGGGAAATTCCTCAAAGAGAAAATTCTTGGGCTTAAGGAAGGGTACCATTCACACAATTTGAGAAATTATTGGCAAAAATGAAACCTATGTAAAACAGCATTTATCTTATTCAAAAACATTGATTATCAATGATTCCCAACTCTGAAGTCTGAAAAATAACAATACCTGGGTGTTAATCGTTAATCCATGGATAATCCTTGAAAATTATAAATACGTTTGGGAATATATGGTGTAATCTTATAGTCAATAAAACGTTTTGAAGTGTATTCCTGTTTTTAAGATGAAAAATTAAATGCATGAAAAAACTCCCCCGATTCATTCTACAAACAACTCGCAGCCATTTGACATCAATTTTTGACCTATTGTAACGGAAAGTTTAGATTGAAAATTTTCTGAAATATGGGGAGTAGAGTCAAGGCAAAGATCTATTCACATTACCAGTTTCACGGGTAGTATCTAAAGCCCCGCTATGATTGAAAGGTCGCGAGCAAGTTCCCGCTGAAATCGCGAGCATAGTCCTGTTTATTTGTATCACTTTGGAAAATGAACCAAAAGGATGAGAATACTTATTACCGTTCTTTGATACTCCAGCAAAACTTTGAAAACAGACATATTTGACAAAAAATGACATGAAAAATGATTATTTTTTACTTGCATGAAGGAAAGGGGCGTCAACATGCACGTTTGCATAATTTACTGTTCATATATTACTTTTATCGTTAAAATAAAGGCAATAAATACGATTTACATACTCCATAATAAATATCGGATCAAGATGGTCTGTATTGATAAGTTACTGGACAATGACCCCTGCCATTGGGGTCGAAATACATTATTAAAGGTGTTCCAGTGGCCCCGCTGAAAAAATGAGGAGGCCCCGCTGAAAACATGAGGAGACCCCGCTGAAAACACGAGCAAATTTCACGACTACCCGCTTCGATCACGAGGAAAGCTTCATCATTATTCCATGAATATAGTGAGCTTCTTTATATGAACGTACACGAAAGTGCAAATAACGTATTAATGACAATCACATAACATATCATTCTATGGCAACATCACAAATATTTCTTCTTCAACTTCAGGCAGTCTAATCCATCTGTCAGCGGCATGATCAAATTTTTATATGTAAATAGACTTTGTACTTTTCGGAGTTAAATGTACATTCTACATAATTAACTATTCCAAGGATTATACTTCTGAGGACACATATATTTCATTGGTTTCTTTGTCCGACCGTTCATTCGTGCGTGCATTCGACCGACCGTTCGTTCGTGCTTGCTTTCGTCTGACTGCCCTTTCGTTCGTGGGTTCGTCCGTCTATCCATCCGTTCGTCCGTGTGTGGTTTCGTTCAACCGTCCATTCATGCGTGCGTTTGTCTGTTCGTTCTTTTTGCGTTCGTTTGTGCGTTCGTTCGTGAGTGCGTTCATTCGTGCGTTCGTTTGTAACTACGTTCTTGCGTGCGTGGGTTCGATCTTTTGTAAATTGTTTTCTTCTATCTTCCCTTCATGCGTTCTTTTGGCCGCCTATCCGTCCGTTTGTTCATTCATTGTTTTTCGGCTGTTCTTCTGTCCATCCGTGCGTTCTTTCCTCGTTCGTTTGTTCGTTTGCAGGTTTTCATCAAAATGTGTCTTTCCACTGCCATATGAAAGAATGTAAATAATCAAGAAAGCAAGCAAGGACGTGAGGAAGTAAACAAGCAACGAAGTAAGTAATTGAGTTATCAAGCAAGTAAAGAATGGAGGAAGTAAATCGAAGAAGTGAAGGTGGGAGTAATATAAGTAAGCAAGGAAGGAAAAAAGGAAGGAAGGAGGGAAGGAAAGAAGCAAGGAAGCAATGAAGGAAGGAAGGAAGGAAGGAAGCAAGGAAACGAGAAAGCGAGGAGGGAATAAAGCGAGGAAGCAAGCAAGGAAGCATCTGAGGAAGAAAGGAAGGAAGAAACCGAGGGAGCAAGGAAGGAACGATGCGAGTAAAGAATTAAGCAGGGAAGCTAGCAAGTAAGGAAGCGAGGAAGCCAGGAAGCAAAGAAGGAAGGAAATGAGGAAGCAAGGAAGGAAGGAAGCAAGCAAAGACGCAAGGAAAGGAAGGAAAAAAGCAAGGAAGGAAGAAGGCGAGAATGCAAGGAAGCAAGGAGGGAAGAAAACAAGGAAGAAATGAAGCGAGAAAAGAAGGACACGAGGAAAGAATGAAGGAAACGAGGAAACAAGGAAGGAGGAAAGGAGGAAGTGAGGAAGGAAGGAAGCAAGGAAGGAAGGAGGGGAGTGAGGAAGGAAGCGATGAAGCAAGGAAAGAAAGAAGCGAGGAAGCAAGGAAGGAGGAAAGATGGAAGCGAGGAAGCAAGAAAGGAATGGAGCGAGAAAGGAAGGACGTGAGGAAAAAAACGGAAGAAGCGAGAAAGCAAGGAATGAGGAAAAAAGGAAGCGAAGAAGGATGGAAGCAAGGAAGGAGGGAAGTGAGGAAGGAAGGAAGCGATGAAGCAAGGAAAGAAGGAAGCGAGGAAGCAAGGAAGGAGGAAAGATGGAAGCGAGGAAGCAAGAAAGGAATGGAGCGAGAAAGGAAGGACGCGAGGAAAAAAACGAAAGAAGCGAGGAAGCAAGGAATGAGGAAAAAAGGAAGCGAAGAAGGATGGAAGCAAGGAAGGAGGGAAGTGAGGAAGGAAGGAAGCGAGGAAGCAAGGAAAGAGGGAAGCGATGAAGCAAGGAAGAAAGCGAGGAAGCAAGGAAGGAAGCGAGGAAGCATGGAAGGAGGGAATGAAGCAAGGAAGGATGGAAGAAAGGAAGGAAGTGAGGAAGAAATTTGTGAAGGAAGCGAGGAAGCAAAGAAGGGGGAAAGAAGGGAGCGAGGAAGAAAAAAAGCAAGGAAGGAAAGAGGGAAACGAGGAAAGAAGGAAGCGAAGAAGCAAGGAAGGAAGGACCTGAGGAAGCAAGGAAGGATGCAAGGAAGGGAACGAGGAAGAAAGGAATCCAAGAAGCAAAGAAGCAAAGAAGGAAGGAAACGATGAATCAAGGAAAGAAGGAAGCAAGCAAAGACGCAAGAAAGGAAGGAAGGAAAAAAGCAAGGAAGGAAGTAAGTAAGGAAAGAAGGAAGAAGGCGAGAAAGCAAGGAGGGAAGGAAGCAAGGAAGGAATGAAGCGACAAAGGAAGGACGCGAGGAAGAAACGAAGGAATCGAGGATGCAAGGAAGGAGGAAAAAGGAAGCGAGGAAGGAAGGAAGCAAGGAATGAAGGAGGGAAGTGAGGAAGGAAGGAAGTGAGGAAGGAAGGAAAGAAGGAAGCGAGGAAGCAAGGAAGAAAGCCAGCGAGGAAGCATGGAAGGAAGGAATGAAGCAAGGAAGGAAGGAGGAAAGGAAGTGAGGAAGAAATTTATGAAGAAAGCGAGGAAACAAAGAAGGAGGAAAGAAGGGAGCGAGGAAGGAAAAAAGCATGAAAGGAAAGAGGGAAGCGAGGGAGGAAGCAAGGAAGGAATGAAGCAAAAAAGGAAGGACGCGAGGAAAAAACGAAGGAATCGAGGAAAGAAGCGAGGAAGCAAGGAAGGAAGGAAGCCAGGAAGGAAGGAAGCAAGGAGGGAAAGAAGCAAGGAAGGGAGGAAGCAAGGAAAGGAAGGATGCAAGGAAGCGAAGAAGGAAGGAAGTGAGGAAGCAAGGAAGGGAGGATGCAAGAAAGGAAGGAAGCAAGCAAGGATGGAAGGAAGGAAGCGAGGAAGGAAGGATGCAAGAATTCGAGGAAGCAAGGAAGGGAGGAAGGAAGGGAGGAAGGAAGCGAGGAGGGAAGCAAGGAAGGAAGCAAGAAAGAAAGAAGGGAAGTGAGGAAGGAAGGAAGGAAAGGAGGAAGCGAAGGAATGAAGTGAGGAAGCAAGGAAGGAATGAAGCAAGGAAGCAAAGATTGAAAAAAGCGAGGAAGGAAGGAAGGAAGGAAGCAAGGATGGAAGGAAGCGAGGAAGGAAGGATGTGAGGAAGCGAGGATGGAAGCCAGGAAGCAAGGAAGGAAGGAAGCGAAGAAGCAAGGAAGGGAGGAAGCGAGCAAGCAAGTAAGCAACAGGAGATTGATACAGGAATAATATTCATAAACATTATTCTGACTAAATCATTTTAGGTTGACCTAAACGCACGCTTATTCGTGTATCTTACTGAATATCGACTTGTACTCAAAGATGGAACAGAGGGGACAGTTGCAATACAGAGAATACATGATATTTCCTATGGACTATGTAGCAAAATCACACGATAAAAAACGTTATACAACGATTTGAAGCGCAACATAGGATATATTGTGCTCTCGATATGCTGTATTTCCACTTGATTTCATCTCGGGCCAATACAGAATTTTTGAGCACAATATATCCTATATTGCACTTCAAATCATTCCATAACCTATTTTACTTCAAATTATGAAAATGAGGTTAAATGTTCATTTCGTCCGATCTAATACTCATCACATTTCTCAGATGATGTTTCTTATTCTGTAAAATGGCATGGAGAAATGATACTGCAGTTTTCCATAACAACGTATCATAATATGAACTATATTAAACAGTTGTGTTTGCTGTTATTGAGAATTGTATTGACAAATAATGTATTCATCAAACTGGGTACAATAGTCGATCAAGGTGGGTACGAAAGTGGGAGATGTTCAGGGTATAATCGGGATTCACTCCATTTTTAAGAGACACTTGCTCCTGTTTTCAGCGGGATCTCCTCATGTTTTCAGCGGGGCCTCCTCCTGATTTCAGCGGGATCTTTGCTTAATTGCTCCTGCTAGAAGCGGGGCCTTGAGGGATATGATAAAATTTAAATATAAAATGTTCTGTAAAGCTTTAAGAAGGGAAACTCGGTACATCTTTATTTCATATCACTATCGTTATTTCAACCACAGGACAACATCGTTCTTCACCAATAACGTATAGAAATATATAGATAAAGATTCAAAATGATACTTTCTCTCTTCAATTGACAAATAACGAACCACAGAACTACCGCTCGTGATACATTTTTTCCAGCAGTTGCTTTTTAGTCCAAATACCATGTAATCATTGGGAAAAATTAAAAGAAAACGTTTTGTAAATCATACAATTCAAGAACACAAAAAAGAACCCATGACTTCTTTTTACTCCTCGCGATTTCAGCGGGAACTTGCTCGCGATTTTTAAATCATAGCGGGGCTTTAGATACTACCCGTGAGTTTTTCTTTCGTTCCGGGCTTCGAGTTCAAAGATATATGGGATTTAAAATGTGAACCTATGAGGATAAAGGCTTGTCCTTTTTCCACATAGGTTTCCTGGTAACTTTTTGGGTAGTACAGGGGGTTCACTAAGTAATGACACTAGGTCTCCTGTTTTTACAGCTTTTAACTAAAATGTTTCTAGATTTTGCACATATTATCTGGCATGTAATAATGAGTATACACACCTTTCATGTGTCAAGAATGAAAATAGTTAATTTTATCATATACATTTTGATTTGGTAACATGGTCCTTGACACAGCACATATCATATTTTACATTAATTAGGATTTTTTAATCCTGAACATATCCCTTCTGCAAACGATATAATATTTATCATTTATTTCCACTCTTGGTCCATACCCAAGGGATACGATGTTCACTTTAAAGTAATTTGTATCTTCTTCAATGCATTTTTATGTTGTTCAGCCACCTATTTGTGGAAGTTTGTATGGCCAATCTTATCTCATTTAACTTGGCTGCCCTTACAGTTTTCTCATTGGAATGAAACTGTTGACTCTTTAAGAGACCAACAGCAAAGAAATGTAGTTCAATTTAATTTGGTGAATAATAATCAAAGTCAACGTTTTTAAACCATAGACTACTCTGCATTCTGTCCATTCTCTATGGACTACATTGTAGTATGACAAGGATGTTTCTGCGTTGCAGCCGGTTTCCCATTTCCACAAGACCTGTTTTCCGATGACGTTTTGAACTTTGGCAGACTTTCCAACTCATGGAGATCCTAGACGTAGACTATTATGAAGTCTTTTAACTAGGACTGTTATGGTGTCATACTATGGATGAACCATACTATGAATATAACTACTATTACAGGACATATTTTAAATAACCAACTGGCATAGATTTAATAGAGAATACATAGCCCAAAATCATGTGAACCTCTATCATATTATACTTCGTTTCATAAGAAATGAGTAGAAACTGAAATCTGTGTCAACACACCTGCCATCAAGTTGCTATGGCAACCATTATTTCATTGTTTTTACATGAGTTTATTTCAAGACTCTTCAAATAAACTCACAATTACACTTTTCAGACATGCTGAAAATTTAAGCAAGATTCCTTAAAATCTGACAAAATGGGAGATTTAGTGTCATTACTTAGTGAACACCTTGTATAGAGACTAATATAACAAAAGTTCAGCATGAACTACTGCACGTTCTAGTCAAGATGTGATTTAAGCGTCACAATCAATCATCTATTTTTAGTTAAAGTACGGTCTTTGTTAGTGCGTGAGACAATCTGGAACACCTTACTTTTTCACATTGACATTGGTGCAATGACGTTTCACAAACTTGATATAAAATATGGTTTAGTTTAGGCATCCCATCTAGTTACCACATTAGCCGGTGAACCGTCAATATGTTGTTTGTGTCAGTCTTGGTGCTTGTGTTTGGATTCAGGTACGTAAGAGGGTGAATGGGGCACTTAAACAATGGAATGAGGGGGACAACTGTGAGGAAGTGTTAGATCATATATCTTGGCCGGGGGATAGGGGATAAGGTGAATGACATGGGATTGACGTCTGGTTCAGAGGCTCCTCCTTGATATAATGGAATATATTAATTGATGTAACTACTAGCTACTTACTGTAACTGTGACATAACCACACCGGAAAAGCCTGACTGCATGCATGCATTAAGCTCTTGTGATAATGTATCATAATTATGAAATCCCATTTTCGATTAAATTGGGTCGTGAATCCCCACAATTTGGCGTCTTCAATATCGTCATTGACAACGGAATCTGAATTTGAATAATTTAGAAAGACAACGGCATATGGTAATTACAGTTCCCGTTGTCTCGTATCTAATTTTGATCGGTTAAATTAAAGACTTTATTTCGATGGTAGAACATTATTAACTGTACAATGAGTATTGAGACACTTTGATTGATTGTTGTTCCAAAGGAATTTAGTCTAGGTGCTCTATTAAACATACAGTTCATGAAAATCTAATTGAAGCGACGGTTATGTCCGCCATTTGTGACAACGGTATCAGACTTTTCCGTTGCCAGGCTATTCCGGGGTGATAACATTGTGTGGTTTAGTTCAAAATATTTGCGATGCATAGAACAATGCTTTGTTTGTGCTACATGTGATTATGGTATCGATGTTGGCCCATTGTTGATTTTTGTCATTTCTAGACATGGAGAAGCAGTCTGCACTCCTCCCTGTGGATGTTACAACACAACCGAAGCCCCTTGGATAGACACGGATGATCCAGAGACATGGGAAACTCAGCAGCTGAAATATGAGCTCTACACTCGCTCAAATAGAGAGAATGCCATTCCCATACGCTGGGACAACATACCGTACTGACGCATTCTCTTAACTCAAAAATAAAATACTATAATCTATTATCTATTATCGTATGATCTGTAACATGAAGCCCTCTGATTGGTCAGTTCTTGTGCTGTACCAATGTGTATTGCTACTGAGATTGTCCCTATTGATCATCTCCGTAACAATACAGAAAATATTGGTACGAATGGGACAATCTCAGTAACAATACAGAGAATACCGAATATTTCCTAGAGATTGTCTCCTAAATAAAATGTATTGGCCTAACATCACACGATAAAAATGTTACATAAGATGATTTGAAGTGCAATACAGGATATATTCTGCTCTTGATATTCTGTATTGGCACTCGACTTCGTCTCGTTCCAACACATAATTTCTCGAGCAGAATATATCCTGTATTGCACTTCAATTCATTCAATAACTTGTGTTGTAGTCGGTTTTTGTCATTTACGTTGCTGTCATTGTCATAATGTATGCATCCATGATTAAAATAGAGCAAATCGCGTGATCAATGTGGTGATATTTTGAATATTACTATTACAGCAACGAATATGACGCCACCAAGCCGACAAGGTTCGTTATCCATGGTTGGTGGGGACGAACGCCACTCTCTCATTGGACAAACAACATGAAGAGCGCACTCCTTGTAAGTCCATTTCAGAAAATCCGAATGAAGCGTCATAAATGTTCTAAGGCAAGACAAAACGGTTAATAGTTTAGGAAATACTTAGCAAAATAAGTACAATGGTAGTACATCTTTAAACGATTTAAAATGATTGTTTAAAAAGTGTTCTCGTAAAGATATAATAAAATGTACTCGTATCAAGAAAATCGCATATAACAGAATGATAAACAGAACAATAGAATTTAAAATTATCCTTCAAGATCGGCCCTTCACTGCTTTCATAGCAGAGATCATGTACTGAAATGCAATGAATGAAGAAATGGTCGAAGAAAACAATGCGGGTGATGAGCTCAACATACCCACTGTAATTTTAGACTTCGTTCGATGTTAATGTTATCATCGTTGATTGGACCGAGGGTGCGTCTCACGCCTACTATCCCCAGTCAGCGATGAACACGAGAGTGATCGGGGGCTGTACGGGACACTTGGTAGAAACCTTGGTATGTAGTGTCACAAGTTTATGTACGACTAGATATTTTGTTTGTACCATTTTCGTCTTTTAATATAACGTATGATTTCCTCAGTTAACCACCTGTCTTCCCTACATGGTATACCATCATTTTAGTGTACTCCGTAATGTCGACGTACCGTCATGTGATCGCATTTAACTACCAATCATAACAGCTGGATAAAGGCGTCATGTGACCTTTTGTATTTTTTTAAAGGGACTCATTTTATAACAAATGTTTAATAATACATTAGAGAGTATAAGCTAGCGATATTTTTTCACAACGTAACCGTGAACGCAAAACCAATGAATAAATACTAAACAAATACTGGATGATCAGGAGCTGGATATGGCAGAATACCTATTCGAGAAAAAATATTGGGCGAGGCGGCAGCCGAGCCCAATATTTTTTCAAAGGATAGGTATTCTGGCCATATCCAGCTCCTGATCATCCAGTATTTGTTTTATTATGCACCTCCCAATCAACGTTAAGTGGAGTACTTACTGGAGTAGGCTTACAGGCTTAAACTGTCGTTTAGTTGACATTATTTTGACATTTATTTATTTTTTCTTTAAAAACTCAGACGACTTCCGGCCAGTTTATTCGCTACACTGGACAAAAATATTTGCCCCGGGAATTTAATTTTTATTTATTCGAGACGTTCTTGCAGAATCATATGTAACTTTTGAATGATAAGGGTAATTGTGATTGATTAAGTGCATTTTTTTCTTCTATTTTCCGCCAGTTTCAGATGTCAGCTTTAAGTAGTACTCCAGTTATTAAGAAATAAAACTCTGAAAAATATCCGACCCTTTTTCTCGAAAGGGTCAGATATTAAAAAAATATCCGGCAGTTTTCAGAAAAGAGCAGAGTATTGCCAAATTACAAGCAACTAAGAACCAATCAGATTTGAGTATTTCAATGAGGTGCATAATAAAGTAATATACCAGGTGGTCCAAAAAAGTGAACCCCTAAAAAAGGCTGTATTTTCCTTTGTTAACACATGCATGAATTGGCTCATATTATCACATCTTGTAGATAGAGGACGAACATTTTTATTGATGCCATAATTTATTCTCAGTCTTGAATTTTGAAGAAATTACAAGACTTAAACGTCAAACATGCCTAAACTTAGATATTGTTGAAACACAATGGATGATCTAAAAAAAGCTTACAGCGAAGCAGTTTCAATCATTCAACAGTGAAGAGACACTGTACCTACACAAACAGTTAGAGGGGGAGCAAAGTAACCCCCTGTTACCCCCTGTGACAAAAATCACAAGGAAATCTAATACTCGTGTTTGAGCCATATTTCTTTAGTATTGGTCCATGATTAATGAAGATATTGACATTTTAAGACCATATAGGGATGTGTTGCGATTTCACTGGAAGATGTTTTCGTCTTTGGAAACGTAGACCATTTCTTTGGATCACGATAACTAATAATAATCGCAACTAACAGAGGCAGGATGCTAATTTTTACAACAAAATGTGCGGGATTCAAAACAAAACAAAGTCAGAAAACATTAGGTTTTTCAGTTTGCAGCTTAAACATTTTCACAGGAAGATTGTTGAAGGCTTGAAGAATTGCAAATGTTGACGTTCACGTTTTTCACAGGTTTTCAGTGATGTTTGGTAAGGACTCATAATTTCTGCAAAAAATGAATAGTACCAACAAATATGTTAGACCTACCTCTACAACATGTGAAAATATGAAAGGATTCCTGCAGACAATAAGGAAACTATAGTCTGTTGCAAAACAGTTCACATTTTGTACCACCCTGTATATAGCGCGCATACAAAACAAGCGCTACTTAGTCTACTTCAAATACCCGATCAGCTAGCAGCTGTGTTTAGAACGGGAGATTTGCAATTTCGCGTGGGTGTCAATGGGGATCATTATACTCCTGTCCATTGGATACTATGCTGGCAGTTTTGATTTCGATACACAGTATAATGCTTTCTAAAGAAAATGATATGTGGCATGCATGTTTAAGCTCCAAATATCTTACGAAACGAGGTGATTTAAAATATGTATCATATAAATAAGGGTTATGTACTGGGAGGTTTTGGATATGGGGTTTATCCAGAGGGAGATATGCATATCTACCTGAGGGACCGTAGGTAGATGTGCATATCTCACGAGGGATGAACCCTATATCAAAACCGACCGTACATAACTGCTTTATCCTATACCAAGTAGAGTTTTCTAATTTTCTTTAAATTTTTTTTCATTTTTTTTATTTTTTCAATTTTTTCTCTTTTTTCTAATTTTATTTTCAATTCTTTCAATTTTTTTTTATTTTTTCATTTTTTTTATTTTTTCACATTTTTCACTTTTTTCAATTTTTCAATTTTTTTTCAAATTTTTTTTTCGAAGCGGGAAGATATGCCCTGGAGCGGGAGATATGGAGGTTCAGGATATGGAAACCTCTAAATCAGGATACGGGATATATCTTACCAACTTATCTCCCTAAAACTCTACTTGGCATAGGATAAAACTAGCTATATAGCTATCAATGGCATATTACACGATGATATGTGTCTTCGCAACGGACTATAGTAAACACTGTAACTGAACGATTATTTATGTAAGAAAACTACATGCATTTGTATGGAGCAACTTGTGCGTACGGGTTGACGTTTCGATTTTATATGCATTGCTTGAAGTCTCAATTATTACATTAAAATACATCTTAATTGGTTCCTGTTATTCTATTAAACAGGCAATGCGCCTATTCTTGAATGAAAAAGGACAAAATATTGTTTGAGACATGTCACTCACACAGTCAATCAAATATGATAAAAACTTTAATTTGGGATAATACTGAAGTGAAAAAAAATTACTTGCATAGAAAACAGCATTTGAAGTTCAGAGATTGAAAAAACCGAATTACCACTTTTCACAAATAGTGTATGTTTTAAATAACTCTTGGATTAAAATATGGCGTATGCTTGAAAATCCTGTCAAAAATGAATTGATAATTAATGCAAACAACAATGCCATCTTTCTATGGCATTGTACTAAAAACTTGACATATATAAATTGATAGATCAAAAATATTTTGTCATGATCAAGTGTCAACTCTGATGTGGTCTGTTTGGGCTTTTTTGGTGTCAAATGAAAGATCGGGTACTTATTTATCCATTGGAAATACTATGAAGATCAAAAGTGAGACTTCATTTACGCACTTTGTCCCTTTTATTTCAAATTAATTACTCATTACTCAGGTGAACGCTGGTAACACCTGGAATGACTTCCATTGTATTGGACACAGTTTAGGAGGACAAGTATGTGGGTTCGCAGGCAAAAAGACTGAGGGTAGAATGGCTAGAGTAACAGGTATGCCATCTTTATTATACATTACTTTTTATTTTGTATTATCGCCATCGAAATTCCGCCAAGTATGGCAGTCATCTCGTGAAAATAATCTATAGCTGTCTAATCCAAAAACCTGACAGGTTCTGGACAGGCATGCTTTGTGCTGTACGTAGATCAATCGTTGACCTCATTACATTTTATTCAATATTGTTCCCAATTACTAGGAATGGACCCCGCCGGTCCAGCATTTGACATCACGGACCCAAGAGGTCGCATTGACCGCGGCGACGCAGTATTCGTAGACAATCTACATACAAATGCAAACAACGACTACATTAACCTTGGTCTTGGTCATCCAGTTGGACACGCCGACTTTTACCCAAATAAGGGCGGGCCCCAACCACCTTGTGATGATTTCAGTAAGTATGAATAGATATATTCGTTAAATCGAAGACCTGAGTTTGGTAATAAAATTTTTCCTCTGCTGACTACCTCGTTACTTTCTAAATACAAACACATTACCCATACTCGTTTCCCATACCTTGGAAAGCCAAGATGCACTTTGGCAGTCACTGATATGATCCACTTATCACTCTAGATCGCTTTATGAACACATCCGGGTCTTGACGCCTGTCACCGAATGAAGTCTGTCCTCTAGTGACTCCTTCAAGTGACTACATGGTCCAGGGGTGTTCGCCCCCCCCCCCCCAGCCAAAAAATCTTTCAAAATCATGCAGTTTTTCACCATTTTGAGCACTTCTCAGGTGATTTTGCCCATATTTTGGCCAAAATTGTCAAATGTGAACACCCCTGGAAATTTTTGAAAACTGAACCCCCCTTGGAAAATCCTGGCTACGGGCCTGAGGCCTATAATTCATCATTTGATATTGTTTTCTAGACTGTGATCACAGTATCGCCCACGAGTATATGAGGACATCTATCCTAAATGGATGCCCTTTCAATGCATTCCCTTGTAGCAGTAACGAAGATGCTGATAACGTACGTTCCTAAATAATAGGGAGGTTAAGGTTGTATTTGCAACTAACGCCCGACGGCTCCCAGATTAACCCACTATTTTATTGGTGAGTCATTTAAATATGAATAGTACCTGCCACTATTCCATTATTCCGTCCATATTTAAATGACTTACCAATAGATAATCCGGTAGCCGGCAGGTGTTAATTCAGTCACGAATACAAGGTTAGATACATTAAAATTGTAACGTGTGGAATTCTAGTCCTCTGTGGATTAAATTCTCCCATTAGTACAGTTTACTTGGTCGATTGAGTATAAAGGTATACGGAAAATAATTAAGTAATTATGTCTCTGGAAAAATATCACGGAAAGAGTAAACAACATTTGGACAACGCACTTAATAAGTACACTGGCTCTCTAAATATATTGTACGACAATGCACCTAAAAAGTATATTGTCCGTCTAGATGTACCATGTGACAATGCACCTAAAAAGTACACTGTCCGTCTAACTACATGTACATGTATCTGTGTATGTCATGTGACAATGCACCCAAAAAGCATTCTGTCTCTCTAAATGAGCCATGTGACAATGCACCTAATTAAGTACATTGTTCCTCTAAATACGTCATGTGACAATGGATTTAAAGGTACACTCCTCCTAAATGTGTCATGTGACCTAAAAAGTACATCGTCCGTCTAAATGTTTCATGTGATCTAAAAATTCTCTGTCCTTCCAAATATGTCATGTGAAAATGTACCTAAAGAGGTAGTGGTACACTGTCCTCTAAATGTTGAATGTGACAATGCACCTAAAGAATAACACTGTCTCTCTGGCTTTTCCATGTGATAATGTACCTTTTAGGGAAGATGTGATACGTGCTCAGAGGGAAATTGTCAGAGAATGGGTTACTATGCCAACACGATGCCTGGACGAGGAACCTTCTTCCTTAGGACCGTCCGAGCATACCCCTACTGCGCAGCATAGCATTATTTTAAAAAATTACTTGTATAATAAATTATTGATGTCCATATTTTTTATCATAAAATTAGAAGGGCACGAAACTGCGGAGTATTTTTGTGTCGTCTAAACGTCTAAAACCCAGATTGTTCTTTCTCATGTACCTATTAACATTACTTTTATTACATCCTTTTGATAAGGGTACTATTATTGACCCTGGATATCCTTTGCACGTATGTATAAGTGCGGAAAAAACGGTGTCACAATGGGACAAAGAAACAATGATCACAATCCATTAAACATGTCGAAAAACAAAGGGTTCAATACTCCTATTCGTGATATTCGTGAGTTCAGGTGGTTATTTACTTAAATATCTCCCATGATGCATCGCTTTGGAAGGGACTTTTTATTGGCCCGCCGAACGAGTCGATTATATTACTCTGGAACGTTTCTCTGCTTTTAATCTCCCATCAGCCCCAAAGCATACACTGTAGTTACATGATCCAATCTATTCAATAATCAGAAAGATAATCGGAGATTCAAAGTAACATTATTTATATTTTTTCGATCTTCGATGGCGTCTGGGCAATTTCTGCGATATCAGTGACGTCACTGGAATTGGACTACATTTTCAACAAGAGGAGGGAAAGCCCCAGAGTTTAAAGATGACAGACATAATTACGTCTCTTGCTTACCCCCTTCGTTCGTTCGAATTTTCATCGGCTAGTTATCAAATACTACACTTCGATGGGATGACTTAATTGATATAGGCATATTCCGTACACGTTTCTTTATCTTGATGTGAAATGAGAAGCTATAATATTGGTTAACACGCCAGGAATGAAAATAATATTATTCGAAGCGTATTTCGAAAATTTTGAACCGCCATTGATGACGTCATTTGTTTGTCGACTTTTGACCAATCAGCGACTACCTGTATGTCATCTCAATACAGATTTACATTATAAGCGTATGTCATCTTTGAACCCTGGTGTTTCTCCCCCTCTAATTTTCAACTATAGATTTCTTCGGATTTGGGGATTATAGTTCAAAAAGCTTTGTCGTATATCTCAATTTCATACATACCTATCGTTTGTGCAAATGAAACTCTACAGTACATAAATGTTCAATAGAGTCTGTGCGGCATTGAAAATAACACCCCTGTGTAATCCAATGGGAAAGAACCCAGATGTGGACGAAGTTGTACCACACATGAGAGCTCTTCAAACGGGAGGTAGCTAGACTGAACTAAATTAAAAGTTATCGCGTTGGTGTCAGAATGTAAGGGTATTGATAGAATAAATCATAGATCGTTCTGTAATATGAAGAATAAAAAATTTCAGTTGCTTGAAAAGTATTTATAGAATTAATTGAAACACTGAACAACTAATTCATTTTGTTGTTATAAAAATTATATAGTATGAAATGGTGAAATTTCATTGCGAAACATATAGATTCAAGGCATCCAATGGATGTAAGGAAGGCTGTCTGCTTTCTCCGACCCTGTTCTCCATTTACATAAATGATTTAGCAACGGATGTGAAACAATTGAGAAATGAAATAACTGTTGATGAAATTAATTGACGCCCCCCCCCCCCACCTACAATCATACTTTGCATTTAAATATGGCCAATATAACATTGAACATACATCAAAGTACAAATATCTTGGAGTGTGGCTAGAAGAACATTTAGACTCAAAAATCATTGCTCATAAAATTGCCAAATCAGCCTCAAGGGCCCTGGGTGCAATAGCTATTGTCGGCCTCGGGGAGCATAGATGTCTCAATAATTTCCAAAATCGTGCTGGTAGTTAGCCCTAAAACCAGTAATGAAGCAGTTATTATTTTAATAAATAATATATGAATAAATGAATAAATAAATAAATAAAATAGTAAACCCATATTACTTTTAGACATGGTCAATGAAAGGGAATCAAATGTAAACCAGTGACACGATAATAAACTATTTTAATAAATAACAAGGCATTAACATGACAAAATGTCACCACCTAGTTGCTCACAATATTATGAGTTCAAACTTAAGTCAGATTTGAATTTCTGAGAACTTGTAAAGTCAAATTTGAATTTCTGAAAAGATGTAGATGATTTTGAAAAAAAAATTGGTCAATTTGAAGCAAGTTGAAATCAGACCTTTTTGACCTTTTTTGACCTTGGGAAGGTCATTAAAGGTCAAATGTCAAATCTAAAGTCAGATTTGAATTTCTGAGAACATGTAGATGATTTTGAAAAAAAAAATTAGTCAATTTGAAGCAAGTTGAAAAAAGACCTTTTTGACCTTTTTTGACCTTGAGAAGGTCATTGAAGGTCAAATGTCAAATCTAAAGTCATATTTGAATTTCTGAGAACATGTAGATGATTTTGAAAAAAAATTTTAGTCAATTTGAAGCAAGTTGAAAAAAGACCTTTTTGACCTTTTTTGACTTTGAGAAGGTCATTGAAGGTCAAATGTCAAATCTTAAGTCAAATCTAAAGTCAGATTTGAATTTCTGAGAACACGTAGATGATTTTGAAATTTTTTTTAGTCAATTTGAAGCAAGTTGAAAACAGACCTTTTTGACCTTTTTTGACCTTGAGGAGGTCATTAAAGGTCAAATGTCAAATCTAAAGTCAGATTTGAATTTCTGAGAACACGTAGATGATTTTGAAAATTTTTTTTAGTCAATTTGAAGCAAGTTGAAAACAGACCTTTTTGACCTTTTTTGACTTTGAGAAGGTCATTGAAGGTCAAATGTCAAATCTTAAGTCAGATTTGAACTTCTGAGAACATGTAGATGATTTAGAAAAAAATTGAAGTCAGTCTAAACAGTATTTGTTAAGTTATAGGAAGTTGTAAGAAATTGTTACAGACGCCGGACGCCAACCGCCGGACGCCAACCACCAACCTTTTTGACTTTGAGAAGGTCATTGAAGGTCAAATTTTTTTTAGTCAATTTGAAGCAAGTTGAAAACAGACCTTTTTGACCTTTTTTGACCTTGAGAAGGTCATTGAAGGTCAAATGTCAAATCTGAAGTCATATTTGAAGGTCAAATGTCAAATCTAAAGTCAGATTTGAATTTCTGAGAACATGTAGATGATTTTGAAAAAAAATTTAGTCAATGTGAAGCAAGTTGAAAAAAGACCTTTTTGACCTTGAGAAGGTCATTGAAGGTCAAATGTCAAATCTAAAGTCAGATTTGAACTTCTGAGAACATGTAGATGATTTAGAAAAAAATTGAAGTCAGTCTAAACAGTATTTGTTAAGTTATAGGAAGTTGTAAGAAATTGTTACAGACGCCGGACGCCAACCGCCGGACGCCAACCACCAACCGCCGTCGCAAAAAAACGGAGACCATAAAAATATGTCACCACTTTTGGTGGCGACATAATAAATGAATAAATAAATATATAAATAAATAAATAGAGAACCCGGCATATTACTTTTAGACATGGTCATTGAAAGGGAATCATAGTGATATTTGACACGAAGTCATATTACTTATTCCACCTTATAAACAAGGAATTCGGAAAAGAAAAAAGAATTCGTTTTCGGTGATAAGTATGGTGTTAAAACTGTATCAAAATTGGACATCTTACAGTAAAACCTGTCTAATCCGAACACCAATGGGACCAGCCAAAAGCGTTCAAATTGGCAGGTGTTCAAATTTCGAGGATATTGTTAATCGGGGGGGGAGGGATTTTCATTGTTCAGTCCACTATATTGAACACTTAATACTAAGTCAGAAAACAATACATGTTGTTGATGAGTTTATTCTACAATAGGCCTATAGCCTATATGCTATTTTTATTTACATTTAGAACAATTTCATTATTTTAGTAAAAATAACTTATATTTTGGCAAAAACTTTGTAATACACTGACAGTATAAGTATATGATAGTCTCATACGAAATCTTACGCTTCTCAAATGACTTATCCCATATAAGGGTTATATAGCACTGCTTTACTTTTGCTTGAAAAAGTCCTTCATTGTTGTTTGTTTTTTGGCACTTTTAGCATTAGCAATATTTGAGGAGACATCCTCTTCAAGTAAAAATAATTTTGAGATGACGGAGGCATTTTAGTGATAGGATATTACATTTTTTCTCTTTCTCGTGAAATCTTGTCTGCAATTGTGTCTGTGTTGTCTTTGTGATTATAAAACATTTACTGATTGAATCTTGGCTATCATAACAGACCCACGGGATATAAAACATCTAAGACCTGTTCATAATCCAAATCAAAAACATCCAGTTAATTTACAATAAGGATAAACCAATTATCTCCCAGATTCTCACCTTTCTCTTAATCCAAATCAAAAACATCCAGGTAATTTCTAATAATGATAAATCAATTATCTTCTTGATTCACACCTTTCCCTTAATCCAAACATAAAACATTCAGTTATTTTCTAATAGGATAAACCAATTAACTCCTGTATTCACACCTATTCAAATCACCCTGTTGTTTTCCACAAATAAGGGATGTCACTGAGACTAAATAAGTTAATTAGGACAGTATTGGTTCTTTGATTACATTGTACATGTATATGTAAAGATAAACAACAACTATAACATTGACTCAATATGTGGCTATTATTGAAATGTCCAGACATTTGATTTCTGATAAAAATGTTCAGATTAGACAGGTCACTTTTTCATATCTGGTTGTTCACTGTTCAGATTAGGAGGTGTTCAGATTTCAAGGTTTATTTAACATGGGAGTCAATGGGAGGAAAAAATGGGACCGCAAAAAAGTGTTCAAATTGGAAGGTGTTCGGATTAGCCAGGTGTTCAGATATACAGGTTTTACTGTATATTTATGATATATCTCAAACACATAGAATAGCGTTTAGCAGAATACATACACAATCTGTGTGATTTCATACACGGTTTGTTCGAGTTTGCACACTCTATGTTTGTAAAATCACACGTGTACATGCGTATTTGTGTATGCATTGTTTAAAAATGACATCGAACAGGGTACACAAGTCGAACAAACTCTTGTGCGGCTCGCACAAACGTTTTCCCCTTCACAAACCATGATGTGCCGATCACACACCTTGATGAACCGATCACACACATTGATGTAACATAAATTGCTTTCTAGAGATGTTCGAGATTTTGTTCTAAATCTCGCGTTACTTTTGCACTGAACGAAATAACACATCAGCGTGGCAAAAAGATAAAAAGATCTAGTTTGTAGTTTCTCAATATATGGCCACTGTACGTCTCCCTAGCCTAGGGTATCCTATTATATATTTTTAATTTAAAATTTACATTTTATCACATTTCAACGAAGGGCGCCATATTGTAGAAATCAGGATGTAAATATCACGTGACTTCAAATCTCGCACCCTGTGTGAAGTGCAACTTGTTTGTGACAGCCTATGCGAGCGGGAGCCATCCTATGCGAGTTTGAACTCAATGCGTGTGTAAAATTGACACGTTCGTTCGAAATTTACTTTGATCCATGTGTAATTCTTTCAGTATTCTATGCAACTTATAACACAATCCGTGTGACATTTCAACATTGCTTTTGGATTTTTGGAAAGTGATTTGAGTTAGTGCTAACTCTTTGTGTGACACTTGATACAACCAGTGCGTGTGTGAATGAAAATAAGTTATGTAAGAAAATTAACTGTTGGTATAACATGGATTGAAAATGGCACACGATGATGCGAGTTTCGCATATAATGATGCGTATTTCGCATAGTATGATGCGAGTTTCGAATCATATGGTTCGAGTATCGCATCATATAGTTCGATTTTTCCCATACATCATGTAATGTCCAATTTTGATACAAAATAAATTCCATAATAAGAGCATTAGAATTGATCGATGAAATGCTATTTCTGTACTGTATAACCGAGTGGTTAATTTTTATCATTTTCCGAATTTAAAATTTCCTAATGACAAGAAACTTTCCATTAGATAATATCATGACTATATTTCCGACATTTAATTTTCCGAACCTGGCAAAAATTAGGCAATGGGCAAATTAAATGATTAAGCAAAATTACCAATTTTAATTCACTTATACTTATAACGTATAGTTAGTTATACGCATAAACGTAAGATTTTCTTTCACTTATGAGTAAAATCTCTGTAATGACTTTCGAGCTCAGATCTAGAGTTGAGTGAGTTTGACATCCAATTGTTAAAGCCCAAGTGCTCTAAGTAAAGTTCACGTATCTGAATACGTGAACTTTACCATCACAACGTGTAGAATATCAATCCATGTTGAATTTCCAGAACGTTAATCGATTGAAAATATAAACCAGTATCGGTGTTAGCCATCCTTCAAGATCGGTCCTTCACTGCTTTCATAGCAGATCATGTAATGTAATGTAATGAATTACTCTTGGGCCAAGGATGGGTGTTACCATCTGTGTTTCGATTCATCCTGTGACAATACATACAATGTTGTGCAAGAAAACCAACACGAAATTAATAAAACTTATATCCGCTTTGGAATGTATTGTAAACAAATCAATCCTTGCGTAATAATAGCTCAAAGGAAATAATTAAGTAGGTATAAGAAGTAAACATAACCCTTTTAAGAGGGTTACTCAAGTATATGTGACAGTGTCGTTATGACATCTGTACTTGGAATATATATAACATCGACCCAAGGAGGATTGGCTCCCAGAATGCAACACCGATATTCTGCAAAACAATCACCTAGCGATAGCTTTGTTGGAGAGTATCGGGTCATTCTCCATGCAGTCGTACAAATTATACAGACACGAATAGCAAATGACGCGTGTGTGGAGATTAAAGAATATCGAGTTGGAACCCTGGCTTCCAATCCTCCTTGACATCGACCTGAATTAATCATTGAGTTACGCAAGTTCAAAGGAAACAGTAATATTAATATGTAATCTCTTTCAGACGGTTGCTAGTACATGTAACAGAGTCATGATAACTTTTGTACTCATCATTTAAAAATAAACTGATCACGTAGAATAATAGGATAAAATAGAGAGGTTTCGCGCAACGGGTTGCTAAAATGTATCTGCAACCGCATCTCGTTACTATGCATAAATCTGGTGAATGCGTTACAGATATGATTTGAGATACGTTGGGCTAAAACGCTGTGCGACCGCTCTCTATAATGACAAAGCGATGGCCTAAAATTAATGATGTGATACTGCACTGGAGTATGCAAATGAGATAATGGAAAGTTTGAGCTAACATTGTTTTTCACAACGTAACCGGGAGTTCGCGTGGACGCAAAGTCCATGAATCAATAGAGTAATGTGTATAGCGCGCATACAAAACAAGCGCTACTTGGTCTACTTCAAATACACGATCGGCTTCAGAGCTGTGTTTAGAACGGGAGATTTGCAATTTCAAGTTGGTGGCAACGGAATCATTATACTCATGTCCTTTAAATACAATGCTGGTAATTTTGATTTCGATGCATAGTATTATGCTTTCTGAAGAAAATGATGTATGTCATACATGTTTTAGCTCCAAATAACTTACGAAACTACATGCATTTGTATAGAGCGATTTATACGTACAGGTTTCTGTTTCGATTTTAATGTCCTGAATCCCTCTCCCAATAAAATAACAAAACAAGGTGTGTGTGCGGTTGGTTAGATGGCATAAGCTTGTCTGTTAGACTGGTCATCGCCGGGAGGGGTGTGATTTTAGACACCGCGATCCCCGGGGTTACGATGGTCAGTCTAAGACGCTGCGTTCTCATAAAACCCATTGACGCAACTCAACAGCCCCCGCCACCGATTTATTGCATCCACCAGTGTTTTAGGCAGGCATGTGAAGTTTGAAACATGCACCAGTGTTTCAGACAGGCATGTTGGCTGTGCAGACAACAAGAAGGCACCCTTTTTGGAGGGCAGGCACATGGGTAACCAAATGGAGGCAAAATGGGATGAATAAGGCTGATGGTGCAACATAAGAAAAAATAAAACAAAATAAAAAAACGTTTTTAAAAACAAGAAAATTAGGAAAAAAGAAGAGTAGATAAGAAAAGAGGGAGAAGGTGGGTCGGTGAAAATCGCCAAACAGTGAGGAAACTTGAAATGAACGGTTTTGTATAAAGTTAAGACGCGTGTATGTTGTGTGTTGACTGGCAAATCGAAATCATAAACTAGAACGTGTAGTAAGCAAGGTGGGCGGATCAGAATGGATGTGCGTACGTAACATTAATGGTCGATTGACCAATCCCATTAACCAAGTTTTAATTCAGAAATATAACAGATTATTTAAGATGAAACTTTATTATCAATCGACATGATATTGAATTTCCCAGGACATCTTACCCTTAAAGTGACATACTTAGTGTTTTCGATTTTTAATTCGTTTTGTCTTAAATAGATTTAGTGGATATTGGATTTTCCAGGGCATCTGGCACTGGTACTTAAAGTGGCATTTCGGTGTTTTCGATTTTGTATGATTTTTGTCTGAAATTGATTCAGTGAATATTGGAAATTAAAACAGTAGATTTTGTTGACAAGAATTGGTTTTTCATTCGTTTATCAACCAGACCAAATACACATGTTCTCATGTCACATAAAACAATAGCATTCATCAGTTTGTTTGCCATTTTGTACCCATGAGGTTCAGGCATGTTTTCCAAAGAAAGGGCAGAGTGCATGCAGCTTTTTATAGACCACACATTAGATCGACATCACGTATGTAGATGCCTTTGTAAGCGAACGTCTATAGAACACTGTAAAAATAAAAGTTGCCAGCTTTGGTTCAAAAGTCCTCACTTTGTTTATTCTATTTATGATATACCAATCTCGATCATTAGGTAGATACTAAACGATTTTAACATGCTAACTTTCCGACATTTTCCCGATACTAAACGTAATTCGGAAATCGGAAAATTAAATGTTTTGGGAAATTTACCACTTATATAGTATAGTTTATCATTCCACTTTTTTTTTTATTGCTATACATTTAGAAAATGTACAAACTTCCCCAGAAAGTGGACAGTGGGGTTATTACATACAGAGGGTTTGCTTTTGCCACTTGAAACATAGTTTTTGTTTTGTATAATTTAAAATTTTGAAGTTTGGTAAAACTGGGAAAACGAATCGAAGCATTTTCTAAGGGAAGCTTCAGATCCATCGAGAGTGATAAAGGTATCATCGGCACATATACCAATTATCTTCAAAAATTGCCTTTGGCATCTTTATCATACTTATATAATTGAAAAGAGGGTTCACGCCAAGGATGAATGCGCCATGATAATCTTTTTAAAATAACATATAAGAGAAGCATCAAAATAGGCTCATAGATTTGTTGGCCAAACCACATGCAATCCAAATATATTCCTTATTTTTAGGTTTGAAAGCACGTATAAACATGTTTATTAATTTCCATCTCACAAAATGGGATACAATTACAAGATACAAAAGACGATCAGAATATTCTTCTATATTCTTAATTTGAAGCTACTTTCTTGAAACAGATGTATACCTAAAAGAATATTCTACAGGATAGTCACACTCCTCATTCTTCTACCTTTATGAGCTGGTTATCAGAATTTTGTCTGAATATAGTTTGTGGAATAACTCCGTTAGTGTCTGGGGTGAACGAAGCCCGCAATCTCTCATTCTTCACAACATCTTCGCGTCCTTCTAGCCAATATGTCTGCATCCGACCTTTACCCTGTTTGAAAATAAAATGCAAAAACAATCTAAGAAGTACTTCTGGCTAATTGCCAACAATGAATTATCGGTGGTTTATAAGAACAGGGCATTAACTAAATTAAATAAACATAATAAAAAACGTGCAAAATGTCACTACCTGCCATTTGTTACAGGCGCCGAACGCTGTCAGAGACGCCGACCGCCGAACACCGGCTATAGACAGTTGTAGACTATAACAATATCTATAACACTTCTGGTTGTAACATAAAACCTTAGAAATAGTACATTGTTCGCGTTTTTGTTCAATTCATTCAGAGAGGATTTTTTGTATATTCCTTACCTTTATTTCTACTTGGTCTCGTGGTTCTATGTGGTAACCACCTATCTGAACAAGAAGATCCCGGGTAAATTCACTCAGTTGTATCTTCATTGCTGACAACAAAATATAACAAAATTCAGTTATTAAGAATGATAAATGACTCCAAATATTAAATGAGTTCTTAATTTATTCGTTCCAAACAGCCTTAAATCTCGACACATGTGTCTCTATCAGCTTTTTTACTTTAAATATAATATTGAACAAATATTTCACACTATTGAGGTGAATACCTGTACCTCTTTCACAAGTGATATTCCACGAAGCCCGAAGGGCAAGTGGAATATCACCTTGTGAAAGTACTCGGTTCGTCTGCCATTTTGACTTACACTGAACTAAATTATTTACACTGAACGAAAACAAATTCTTTGAAAATTCCCGGGAGCGTGGGATATCGCTAGATATCTCACGGTTGTCTTATCTGAGAAGCATTGCCATTGAATATCGCCAGATATCCCACGACATGTGACCCGGTTTTGACCAATCATACTGTCGCTAGCTAAATAGTGATATAATAATGTGAGATATACCCTTGAAGTAAAATAACATTATTAAAAAGTGGAGTCATTGTACATTGAAACTTTCAATTGGTAAAAATCATATATTGGGGTGCCAATCGTCAGCTTTACCCAGGAGCTGACAAGATATTTCTGTTTGCTTTATGGCTTTTTGTATACAGTGAATTGATGAAACACTTTACAGTGACAGTGGGACAAATCCACAGACAAATGTTCTGATACAATCCAATGGGGAAATGTTGAGATCTTCGTATTGATTATGAAAAAACGAGAATTTTCGGTACCTAACCCCATATACCATGGTATAGCTCCATAAAACCAAAAATGTTTTTGCATAGAAAGGCCATTGAAATACAAGGTATGACCACCTTTTCTGCCATCTATTCGAATTTTGAACGATTTTAAATAGATTTCAAACTCAAGACCACCTTCACAAAATGGCAAATATTTGAAATAAATCGAATCATTTCGTCATACCTTTTGTAAAATCATATGTTCACACAAGATAAACAAAATAAAATCAGTGCAATGTTGATCTCAATCAACCCAGTGTAATTCTATGAATTCTTGCCCAAGTGTACTATACTTTCAACAACATCCGTCATCAATTATGTGGTCAAACTTTATTGCCAGTAATTTTGAAAAAGGTGTCGGTCGCCGTATTTGAAAATCAATTTGGTTGACGATAATTTCGATAGTTAACGAGCATTCTCATGTCAAAAGTCATTCGTTAATATAATTCCATAGATATAGGCTATTTTAAAGGCCATCAAGAGCCAGAGTTTAATGCTAATTTAGTTCACCACACTGGCAAAAGATGGCTCCATACTCTGGCACCTTGACACTCTCCTATGTATACCGTTCCGTATTAGTGAAATTGTTGACATTAATACGGAATAAATCATACCATTTCATGAAAAATTGTGACCTTGTCCTACGGAAATTGAGATTATGTTTCACAGCAAGTTCGCATGGCGATACTGTATAGCACATGCTCTGGGGAATTGATTCTACCTTCTATAGACACAATAACATCTCTGTCGATAGAATAATAAAAAAGCCTTAGGGTCCCAACCTTCTTTGTTTACATTTACAAAAACGTGAAAAAATGACAAAAGTTGTCATAACTTTTTAAATCTAAATCTGTTGAAAGCGATTTCACTTGCTAGCGACAGATACTTTCGTCTTTCACGAACCGAACATGTCAGTTTGGTTCGTAATATCTCCAAATAAACGATTTCAACATTTTGAAAAACTCGATGCTAGTCCACGTGTTAATAAGGAATGGGTAAACGGTTTCCAAGTGTTAATACGGAATTGGTGTTAAATCGTATACATTCCCGGGGAAATCATAATTTCCATAAAACTTGCAATGATAATTGTTCTGATAGCTTATTGATGGACATTGGACAGTATCTTATTGCATGCAAATGGCACATAATCGACGGCGTCAACACATGCGTCAATCGCAAGGATTGAATGTACATAATTAGTGTTTTCTTCTTTTCTCTTAAGTATTAAAAGATAATTTGTACATCGACGGCGTCAACGCGTTGATAGGTTGTACTTTTTCTTATTGCATCTGTGATAACCCAACAGATTTACTTTCTTGTTTGCCGCTATTCAGTAATGTCAGTTCGATGTCTCACCACTGTTGGGTTTCACTTAATGCAGTTTATATATTCACATACATGTTTAGATCGTTATTATCCACTAAAGTGTCCTATTCTAGTAATTTGTGGATATTGTTGGTCCCGTTCGTACTTTTGGCGTAATTCCCGAACTATTCTTAGTTCCGTTCGTACTTTTGACGTAAAAAGGTCAAGGTTACTGTCGTAGTTTTTTGATCTAAATTTCACCCTGTTTACTATGTTTTATCATTAATCTAGTAGGATATGCACCTAATACGTAAATTAAGCTTTCTATGGGTAGTTTAAACTTTGCAAACGGTCCCGTATTGGCGAAGTTATGGCCGTTTTTGTGGATTTACATAAGTTCGTAATTTATGTAAGTCGCTGCGCATGCGCAGAAGGCAGGTAGCCATCTTATGTTTTTCGAGTAAATCATTCGTGATTTGCTCCGCTATCTTCACTCAAAATGTCGCTATCGTTGACCGTCGAGGTGTCTAAACTGTCTCACGATTTACACCAGTAAGTCGTCCGTCCACATGAGGTGATTACAACAGGATTTGCACGAAGTCTGACCCCCAAATAAGGCTTGAAGTTTGAGGTTCACCCCTCCCGCATGACTTGCAATTGTCAGCACGTCTGTCAAATGGCGAACTACATACCACCAACAACCAACCACTCATATGCTGATGCAAATACCTCATGTGGATGGACACCCTTCACCTCATTTCAAGCTGTAAGCACTCTATGTATACTGAGTGTGGTGAAATTGGCAAGTATTACATTTGGATTTGGATTTGACTTGTTAATGCAAAAGCACATTGGAATTATTTGACCCATATTTGGTTTACATGGTTGATGATCAACATACCCAGTTTGATCATGTCAGTTTGCTTCATTGTTGTTGATTAATACCCAGTTTGATCATGTCAGTTTATCTCATTGTTGATGATCAATACCCAAATTGATCATGTTTTGGTACACTGCAAACTACCCTGTGCAGTTGTATGTTACGTAATGTCTCGCTTGTATATAGTCGGCTTATGGAGTTCAAGTCTTACTGTTGGGCAACAGTTAGTGTCAGATAGATGATGGTGTTGAGTTAAACCCTGATGGAACCTAGTTTATGGTCTAGCCTGATACTAGTTTTGAACTTGAACTGTTCTATTGTTTATCGATGGTTGGAGTGTCGGTTTTATTGTATTGTTGCGTTAAGGTCGTTTTATATAATTTATATACTGTATGCATGTATGGCTTTCCCCAAAGCCACCCTAGGGAAATACAATTTGTTGCACCCAATATTACCAAAGGGAATACAAGTTGTTGCACCCACCCTTATGTTGTGTCATGGAATATTATAAGTTGGTGATGTACCACTACCAACTTGGGTATACAGTTTTACTCATGTTCATGATTGATCACTTACTACATAACATGCACCCACTTGTTACATAGCATGTACCCACATGATGTGTAATCGCACCCATATGTCATGTAGCATGCGTCGGCATGTTTCATAGCAGGCGCCCACTTGTTGCGTGACATGTATATCCATGTCATGTGATTGCACCCACATGTTATATGACATTAATTTTCCTAGCATGTTACATAATGAGCAGTCATGTAAACATTGTTATCACTAATTGGTATGTTGAATCAAATGTTGTCCAAGTTATTGTTATAGTCATTATTTGGTATGTTTCACCCAAGAATACGTAATGTTACGTTGATATTTTAGTCGGTCTTACATTTTGTCAGTGGTTGTAATTCGGTTCTTTGCGTCATGTCGTACACTCCAAGGTGCCAGTTGTTGTTGTTCTCATTGTCAAAGGTTGTTGCAAAGTCATGGTAATACATATTGCTATGTATGTTTATTTGGTCACCAGTTGTGTCACACACTCTCCCAGATGAAAGTATTGTATGTTATATGTGTAGTTAATGTAGGATTTATGAATATGAGCTCAATAATGTGTAATAGCAGTATCAGCTTCTTGGTAATTATGTAATCTTACTTGAGTATGTATTGTACTTGATAGGAAATACTATGTATATTATCGTAACCACATTTCAGGGATCTTAATTGCATAACGATCCACCTTTGTGCGTAATCCTTGAATATGGGTACCCGTTGCCATTGAGTAACGCTGCACCATATATCATCCATGTGTCACAATATCAGAACTTTTATTCATATATATATATATTTCCACACTATGTGTGTAATTGTCATAATTACTATACTCACTTTGTAATCACTTTGTAAATAAACCCATAATTATGTCATCATTTATATTTAAACTAAATCATCTGTTTTGTCAGTTAGGTGTATGTTTTATGTCGCAGTGCGACATATTCAGCCATTTTGCCATTCAACCAGTCATGTCTGTAAAACCCTTGAGAGCGCATACAATCACAACACGGACCCGGTAATAATGTGACGATTCTTCCACTCACTCATAAACCCTTTAACGCTACCACTACCTTTTGCGCTTACCATGCAGAGTGAGGGTCGTTACATTTTGGTGGCAGCGGTGGGATATAATCAGTTGTGATTGGCTCTCCTTCAATGCTGTGACCCAAAACGGCAGAAACTATGTATATGGCAATATAAGTGTAACATAACAGTTTCTAAAAATTGAGCAAAAATGTGTTCCTCAGTGCATCAACTCAAAAATGCATTGGGACACTCATTTATTATGTCAGGAATAAAGCTGACAGTTACGTTACCCAAACCACTCTTAAAGTTGTCATATTGATAACTTTTGCGACTTAGTTCAACTGGGAGTTGTGTGACCAGTAAATGTGTTTTAAGGAAAAATACCAATTTCCTTATTGTGACAATGCCTTCTCTGTGCTCTTGGTGTGTTCTTTTGCTGGACATGTGGTTAGTTGTGATGTCTTGGTCATACC